GTCTTAATGTATTAGCTTGGCAAGCGGTTGGAATGCGGGGGTGGAGGGTGGTGGTGGTGGGGGGCGGGTGTCTCGCACAAGACGAGTAACGGCCGCTATTCAGGACTGCAGGGCCGGTTGTTCCCACTACGTGGCGGAGCTCGGGGATCGCCGGGGCAGCCGGCCGGTGGCCCCGTGGTATGTAGACGCTGTCGCTCTCATGCACAAGGACAGAGGAGGAGGCCGGGGGAGAAAGTGTGTGTCTGTGTGAGAGAACGACAGTCGGGTGAGTTTACAGTACAGCTCGCAGGAGATGATGTCGCATGCCCCTTCGATAAAGTAAGAATTAACCATAAACAAGGTGTCATCAACAAACACGCTGCAGTTATGATGCATCATTATATCTCTCTGCAGAGCCGTTTCCCTCCCTTCCCTTTTGTAGTCAGATATTTGTTTAGTTATTTAGAATTGGGTTGGGGGGGATTTAGGGTTAAGAACTAAAGTGTGAGTCGGGGGAGACAAAATGTAAAATCTGTAATAGTCAAATGTATAACTACACTCTGCTTTTGATAATAAACATAACTTACTAAAAAAAAAAGAATTGGAATTTGGAACATTTTGGAATGTAACCATTAGGCTCGTTTTGAACTGATTCCTTTAGTAATATGAAAACAAGAATTTGAGGATTAAAAAAATCCTGTTTATAAACCTCATGATGAATGATGCATTTACACCGCATTCTATAAACACAACAGAGGCACAATATTCAACGATTCACAGCCAACCCACATTGTATTCTTTAATTCCCCTAATGACCGGGCCACTGAGGATCAACACAATACGTATTGAGGGACGCGGCGGACCGTACCGAAAGGTCTCCGTACCAAAGCAGGGACGAGCAGGTACCCAGAGAGCGTCTTCTGAAGCAGCTCTTTTAACTTCCAACTAGACGACTGAATCCAAGAGGTGGGTGTTCACTGAGACTCTGGTGACAATTTGTTGACACAGGCGGAGGAAGAACTTTGCGCCCTATCATTGCATTCGGGATGACAACCCACTCATTATAATGATTACTCAAAGGACGGGAAGAAGCCTAAAGCTCGTATCCGTCCATCGCCGTTATATCCCGTCTCTGCGTGTTGCAGGCGGACAAAGACGGCCGCTGTCAGCACAAGAAAGAACACCACCATGAAGAACAATGCTCGGATCAGAAATATCTGCATCAGTACAGATATTCTGCCTTTAAATGAACAGCATTTCTTCCCTGTGTGTGTGACTACAAGTCAACTTCCTCTGGAATGAATGGACGTGATTGGGCTCCGTGCTTCTGCAATCAGTGCGTCTTGTTCAAACTAATATAGATTCCCCACTCTGGCACGGTTCATCCAAGAGGCAGAGCAGCCTCTCCCAAATAAACTCCAACAACACACACACACACACACACACACACACACACACACATCTGAAATCAGAGTCTTAAGCGCTCGCTCACCACCGCTACCGGCTACGGCAAAGCAGCGCCACGTTATCAGGGGATTAATGATTACTTCACAAACTGCGTGTGAGACAAACCGAGGCTGAATCCTCCCCCAGAGAAAGAAAAGCTGATCACAGGACTCTGAGACGTGAGGAGGGAGGGACGTTAAATCAACGAGAATTAAATGGGAGTCGCGGTTGGATTCGGGGGGGAGGGGGGGTGCTGATCGCTCCCCTATCTGGGCGTCAAGGCATCGACATCCAAACATCCCCGAATCCCCCGGGCGCCTTTTGAGAAGCAAAAGAATGTGGGAAAAGGACTGGCTGGGGGACAACAGGAGAGCAGGTTAGGGGAGATATAGAGAGTGTTTAATAGAGGGGGTCGACTCAATGGGTGCCCCCCCCACCCCTCCCCACGCAGAAAAGGCATGACATCATCGCATGGCAAGGAGCCGGAGAGAGAGAGAGAGAGAGAGGGACGAGAGCACCCACAGTCGCCCATTCCGCCTCTCGGGGCCCAAAGGATAAGAGCCGACAATGCACCCCCCCCCCCCCCCCCCCAATTAATGGCACCCCCAGATCCCACAGGAGGAAACAAATCACCAGTGGGAACGGCGGAGGTCGAGGGGAGAAACGGAGAAAATAGACATAGGGAGGGAGATGAAGAGAGAGAGCCAGAGAGAAAGGGAGACCCTTAAAAAGATGTGCACACAAAGCAACAAAGCATCGTGGGACATGTAGAGCAAGGCAAGTGGAGGTGGAGGACAAAGCCGCCTTTGTCCCGGCAGGCTGGTGGGTGGTTCGGCGCGAAGGATTTCAACGCGGCGGCTTTTACATCAGCGCTCCCCGATGTATTGATCGGGATCCTGTAATCCCTCCCGCGATCAATGATTTGAAAAAAAAAAAAAAAAAAAAGGTTGGATCGACTCCTTCCCCCCCCCGCCCCCCCCGGGGGGCCTAGCGGGCACGCTGAAGGACGGGGGCGGGGCTTGGCGTCACTAGTCGAGGGAGCTTACGAAAGTCGCGCTCCAAGTTTTTGGGCCCGTCTGACCGGAGGGGGGCGGGGGGTTGAGCCGGCCCGGGAGGGACGTTCAGGGACCCTCCGAACACAGCACCTCCTGGCGGGAGTCAAGCGGGGCGTGTGATTGCATCCCTCGATGAATAAAAGCGATCCCTGCGTTCCCGCGCTGAGGCAAAAAGAGCTTCCGCTCCTCCGCGATTACAACGCCGCCGCTGGATGCCAGAACAGAGGAAATAAATTAGAATGACAAGAGGGGGAAGTCTTTCATGTCTGAGGCTTTGACAACAAACAAACACGAAAACAAGCAGGCTCCCACACACTAGAATAAGTTGGCTCGTGATTTGGGGAGCCAGCTGGGGACAACTTGACACAAGATGGAAGATTCGCTCATGAATAAGTCACAAATAAAAGAAGAGGAAGAAGGAACTGCGCCGTGACGTTTATTTTTGGGATCAATAAAAAAAAAAAAAAGAAAGAGGAGGATGTCGGAAAAAGAGGCAGGGGAAGTGTTGAAGTAGAATGAAGCTCGTGCGAAAGAGGGAAACAGAGTGATAGGACTGTGATCCGTCTGACAATTCAGAGGCACTCGTGTGAATGAGAAAAGTTGGCAGCAGGACTTGTGCTCCGCCTATGAGGGAATATACTGTGAAACGAGAGCGAGCCGTCATTTAAGTCAGACGCGTCACTGGAAGCACACTGAGCTACTTTGGCGTCGCGTCCAAAGGGTACAGCCAGGGAGGAAACGCTTATTCTCTGCAAGAAATGAAATCTATCGATTTGGTCGTCCAATGTGACATTTGAAAAAACAAGAACTGAGTGCAGTTTGAGATGCACAAGAGTTTACTTGTTAATTCAATGTGTGCTGGGGCGGGGGGGGGGGGGTGGCGGGGGTGGTGAGCCTTTGACCTCCCTGGCAGACAGGAGACATCAGGGAAAGGCTGCGACCGACTTTGTTGATCATTTTATGATGGGCGAGAATAGTTTAATTGGCCCCACCCAGTGATGCATTATATAACAAACATTTCATAAAACTGCAAAAAACTAAAAATCCCATTTTAGAGAAAAGTCTACAAAGTAGTTCTCAAGTTCATTATCAACTTTGAATTTTTTCCCTCCTGACGACAGCGGCTCCCCGTCTCTGTTCACACGTTTTGATTGAAATGTCCGAGGGCCGCTGGCGAAACACCAGAAAAAATCACATATGGATTCTGACTTGAAGCTACATTCAGTCCACCATCCCCGTCTGCGGCTTTGAAACCCCAAATGTCTTCGCGGTATCAATTCTCATCAAGTCGGTCCACAGCCATCAGTTAAACATTTCCTTTGAAGTCGGAGCCAGCGAGCGGCGGCGACATCACTCGCTGGCTCGCCGAATGCGCGGCCACGCGAGATGCTGAAGCCATGAAGAGTGGATGTCGCGAGCGGATGTTCTGTATTATAAATGTCAACCGCCTCTTGTTTGGCGGACCAGTGGCTCGTTTTAATGCCACAGGACGCGCAGAGACAGAAAGGGGGGGAGGGGGGTGAGGGGGAGAGAGGGAGAGGGAGGGAGGGAGGATTTCAACTCTCAGGCTGGAAGCGACATCAGAGTGTCTACTTATGAATAAAAAAACAAGATGGATACCGAGGGACAGAAGAGGGCGAAGGCAACAGAAAGAGTGAGCCAGCGCTCGGGGCCCCCGGTCCAAGTGGGCGCGCTCGTCGCAATGTCGCCCACAGCGTCACCGCGTTTTCGATACCTCTGGTTTTAGCATTTCGGCTGCCGCCATCTCGGGTTTTTTTTTTTTTTCCAACCAGAAGTGACGCTCGAGGTTGTTGCTACCAAAAAGCAACCGGATGCCTGATTGAGTGGTTTTGGGTGTCATACAATACTAAGGATGCTCTTACAGCGGTCCGTGTCGCATGTCCCTGTGAGTGATGCTACGCAGCCATTCAAAGCGACAAAGACCGACTGTGCCACATGTGTTAGGTACTGTGGAGAAGGTGATACCCTCTCATTAAAAGCATCCTCATTATCTCAGCATCAGACCCCGGATCTGTTCCCTCTGATACCTGGATGTTTTTACTGCGATAGCATGTGTTCTTGATGCTGCAGAGTCTACGCCCAATACTTTAAGACTAATGGCAGTCATGATTACCTTGATCATATATGTCCTGTTTTATTCATAATATGCCTCTTATTATCTTATTTTTAGCAACCATTTGCTTGTTCTCGTTTGACTTATTTATTAGTTAGCAGCTCTGTCAGTTCTCAGGACTTTAAATTGCTGTGCTCTCAATCAGGCTTCTTCAACCCCATCTCAGATAATTGTTGCGTTTTTGGCACAGAAGCAGATGTGTTATCGTACAAAACCAACCATTTGGTCTCAGTGTGTATCTCTTGCGTAATCTTTGTGTGTCGTGTTGTGTGTGAGGTCTCCTTTTCCTCAGCAAAAGACAGTAATTGGGACAGACTTAACGTGACCGATTAACTGCACAATAACTGTAAATGTGTGTGCCAGTGAGTCGTGTGTGAGCCACTCACTGCTGCAGGAAGCCACGTTTTCTCTTCGGGGCCCATCTTCCAGGCACAAAGACCACATCTCTTCAGACAACACACCTCAGAATTAAAAAGGGAAATTAAATCGTGTGGGCCTACTTCTGTTACAAGGTCTGAGCAGTTGGGAAAGAACTGGTCGGGATATTGTGCACACAGATAAAAGCACACACTCCTGGTGCTTTCATGTTGTTAATGAAAGGGAAGCTCTGCACACCATGGACACAACTGGAGAGACTTTCCAAACAGCAAATCCTTCTACTATGATGCCATTAATACACAGTTCACATCTAATTAAAACGCTCTCTGTCTGTCCAGATGTCTCATATCTAGGGAACCATTGATCCGATCTACTTCACATTAGCCGGGGACCCGGGGGAGTGCTTCTGTCGAGTCAGTGCACGAGAATATCCCCAGCATGGAGGTGGGGATGGAGGCGGGGCCTCGGCGCTGACGAGATCCAACCAGTGTAACCATGAGGACCTTTTCCCTCAGTGAGACTGTATCTTCCTCCTGCAAGACCCGATAATCACTTATACAGCTAATGAAGTTACTACTAGCTAAATAAATCTGCTATTTAGAGAAATAATTTGGTCAAATCAGTGAATTTGTTTGTATTTTCAGGTGCGTTTTGAAGGATTTGAGGGCCGATGCGTTCACGGTCTCACTCTCACCCTTTCTCTAACTGAATTGAATTGGCTGGGATAGAAGAAGTTGACTCACTCAAACCTTTTTTTAACACTACATTACCATTTTACTTGTGAAGAGCGAAAAAGGAGCATTATGCAAATTAACTTCAACTTACCCAGCGTCTATTCAACAGCAGGAACCTACAACGTCGAATAAAAATGCTTCATATTTAAATTGTTATATTTATTAAGTCAATTTGCAACGTAACCCTGGAACATCTCTCTGTTAACACAATTAACTATAAAGGAAATGTTCACAAATCCCCCACAGGTTCCAATGTTGAAGTACATCCTTCTCTGCAGCGCTTTCCACCCTCAACTCGGTTGTCATCCTCCAGTTCCACTCATCTCGAGTGATGCAACAGGTCTCGTGTCATACGTATAATAATTGAGGCCATTCCTTCCGATCCTTAGGAGGATAAACCGGAGATCTCCCCCTTGAAACAATAAGCGGCGCGCTCGTGTGTGTGTGTGTATATAAAGACGCAGATGTAACTTTGCACTCAAGCCGATACAAATTCAGTTTCGGCACACAGCAGCTCCTCTGGGCGAGCTGTTATACACAGACTACTGCATGGAAGCAGAAACATGGGGGGGGGGGGGGGGGGGTTCATAAAGAACAAATCCCCCAGACAATAAATGAAGAAACACCTAAACATGAAAGCGTCCCCCTTAATTGTTCGGATGTGTTGTCTAACATGTCCTCCAATGCACTGTAGATATGATGTGTCACATATGGTTTAGTGAAGGAGATGTGAAGCTCCATGGCGGTCCTCCTCGGGGAGGGTGTTAATGAAGCAGGCGGCCGGTCAGATGGGGGAGTCTCCGACTCTCTGCTTGGGTTCCAGGCAATCAACCCTCGCCTGTTCCTCCTTCCCCTTCATTTTCTTTCCTTTATCCTCTTCGTCATCCTTCTTTTACTCCCTATGTGTCTTCAGCTCATGTCCCCCGCCCCTCCCTTGACCTCCATCGCCTGTTATTCTGTTATTTTGCCTCTTTTTTTATCAGATTTGTCTTCCCTGCTTTGTATTGACAGTGAGCACCGATGGTGTTGTGAATCTACCTCGTAATTAGCATCTCTCTCGTGCAGCTGAATTTCATTGTATTCGCAACTAATTTACTCCTCAGTCATGGGAGCAGCAGTGTTTTGACATTCGGGGGAAAACTGCACCGAGCGATTCTCAGAGAGTTTGGAGGGAAACAAACTCGCTGTCAGGAAAACGTAACGCGAAAACACAGGAGGAAATGTCAAAAGTAAAAACTGTATTAACACAAAGTGAAGCGAGGTATCCTCCCCATCTCTCAGATCCTTTACTCCCAGGGACGCTGCCCGACCTGCGAGGCAACAGTGCCCCCTGCAGGACGACACAGGAGGTGAACCGCAGAGATGTTCAGATGTTCAGTGAAGTTGGTCCCTCTACTCTTTTAACCAGCCCCCCCCCCCTGCAATCTCCTCCCACAAGGGGAATTGTGTAAGTGGATTTAAATAAATTAATGCCTCTTCTGCCAGCCTTGGGAAAACACAGCAGAAAATAGCCCAAAACAAAAACAGAATAAAATAAATCACAAACACTGTCACGTTGTGAGGGATGAAGAAGAACCTCTAGCTCAAGCCTTTAGGCCTGCATTTAGGACGACAGCGATTTGAATACGTCGTCCCAAATTCCACGTTTAGGCTGAGCCGGCATTCTCTGGGGACTGAATACAAAGCAGCGAGCAAGGAAGACACTTGACTAGTGAGCTGGAACAATGCTATCCAGGCTCCGGGGATAATCAGTTCCTCCATTTTGAGACCAAACCTGCTTTGAAAAGCAAGCGGCCATAACTAAAAAAAATTTAAATAAACATCCAGCTTCCGCACCAATAAACAGCAGCCCTGTGCGGCATTTACAATCTTCAGAAAAATCACAAATATTTGTAGCATCAAGGGCACTTCTCATCTCACCGTCTCATCTCACTAAGTATTTGGCCACATCGGAGGTTCTTAGAAGAAATTAAACAATAAGTCGGAGTAAGACACGACCCATGAGGTCTTGGCTATTGGAGGAACTACAAAGCATTAGCTAATTGGGATCCAAACAAACTCCACTGAATACCAATGAATGGGAACGGGGCAACGCTACAGTGGAAGATCTACAGTCAAAACCATATTTGTTTCATGTTCCCTCGGTGCCGTTCTTCTTTTCTTCATACAAATATTTAGGGCACGGCTTAATTAGAGCGCTGCACCAAGATCCCCTTTGTAATGTGCTGCTTTAAATTGACTCCATGCAGAGAATGTGTGCCTATATAAGCATCACTAACGACCACCATAAGGCGAGCATCCAGACCCAAACTAAATGTATTGTCAACCAGCCGGGACACTGAGCACATACACACTTAAAGCTGGTCGCCTCCTATAAACGCACATGCCGTCCAATTGTAGCTACAGAGAAAGTCTCCCAAGAGAACAAAAAAAAAAACCCTGGAGGTTTCCACTAACAAGCTCCCGGATCTCTGGTCTTTACACTACGGTTCCTCTGCAGCCAGATGTGCGTCTACCTCTGGGTCAAAACAGACACCAGAGGGATTACCATCAATTAGCAAAGACAGACAGGCAGAGTGGAGATGCTGCTCCTTCGGCACGAGCGCAGAACAGTTCTCTGTAATCACACGTTGTGGATAATGTTTTTTTAGAGGTTTCTTCTTTTAAATATATATATAAATATATGTGTGTGTCTGTCAGTTCATACCTCAGAGTTGTCATTGCGAAGCCCCAGTTGGAGGACGGCGCTGGGGGACTTCAGTCGGGCTTGGCTGGACTGGGCCATCTGCAGGTTCAACTGCCAGCCGACGTACTGCAGCTGCAACGCACAAACGCAGCCACTCGAGGCCATTTAACAGATGCCAATCGACACATTTGAAAAGCAGTTTTCCCAAGAAATAACGTCCCGATTTTCTTCGGATATGTGTATATTGATGTTGTATTAAGCCTTTTTACCCATAATCTCACCATTTGACTCTCGTTCCTATCGTTTAATTCCCACAGAGCTCTTGAGAAGCACGATATCACTGAACTGTAAAACCTAATAAGATAGTAGAGAACACTGTGATGTCACCCAATGTCATCCAAATCCCAAAAATATTCAATTTACTATAACGTAAGACAAGCAGACTACCCTCCATTATTGTTATAGCTGCAGACATTTTATTTATACATGATCAATTAACAAAATCTTGCAGATTTTTGTTCTAGATTTTGACTTCTCGGTTTATTCATGATAACAAGTGATTTTCTAACTTGTTTGTCCCTTTTTTATGAAGAAACATTCCTGTAGTTGGAGTGTTCACAGGTCATTAACGGCTTGTTGGCTGCCCGTGGACTGATGACCTCGACCTGAACTCAGAAGCAGCCGCTGTACTACAACATTGAATATGGTAATTATAGGCCTTAAATTGAACTCTGTGGAACTTTTCTTTATCTCCCCAAAGTTTTAAGATACCTCGTGTCCAAGCTGTCAGACCATAACTCTCAGCCAGCTGTAGCTGCGGTGTGATAGATAGACAGAGTCAAGGCGCGCTGCTGAAGTGTTTTATGATGCAGGCAGAGGCCGTGATAATAAACCATGTGTGACTTATTGGGCCTGGATGCTCCCAGAGCATCAGAAGACAGGTGTGAGGTGGGGGAAGGCCGGGCCACCGTCATACCACCGGAACAGCGTCCGCATTAGCAGGAATAAACATTGCAGACAGATGATATCTCGCTTATTATCATCGGGGAATACATAAATGTTCCGCCAGCGTGATTTATGTCTGCGTGTTGTGCTCCGCCGTCTTCTTATTTTGGTGGGTGTGTTGTTTGGCACAATGCCAGCAGCAGTCATTTAAAAAAAAAAAAAGAAGAAAAGCAAGCAGGTAACCAAAAGGTGTCCTCACTGTTCACCGCAGACAAAGACAAATTTCTTAATTCTCCTGAAAGCAGCATCGTTGATTAAAACAGCAGCGGGGCAAATCAATCAGACCACCGGCAGAGAGCAGCGGTAAGAATAACCTCCTGTCGAGTCCAGCCGGGAAAGCCAATTCCAAAGAGCAGCGCACCTCAACAAAGATCGTTATGGAGAGAAATTGATCTCCGAGGCATTTAAAGTTTGGACGTCAGAGTCTTGCACCAGCAATTCTAAACGCGACATCCATTTGTGGATCGCAGGCTCAAAACGGCACACACAAATGCAACGGAACGCCCCATGACACGTGATTTGTGCAATGAATAAATACAAACACAGGATATATATATATATATATAGGTGGAACGCTTAAGTTGGGTTAGATTTATTTATTGTATTGTTTTGCATTGTCTCAACTCAGTTGGTATTTGTGTGTTACGCATTTGTGAAAAGCGAAAAATTACCCTCAAAACACATTTGTCAATGTTGTTTTGTTGCACTCCGGGTTAGCGTACAAATGTGTATTTATTTATGTTGGGATGACCTGTCCCTTTAACATCTAGTTTGATCTATGTCTAATTGGTAGCAACACTAGCAGAACAGTTTAGAAAAGTTACGTTAAGGCAGAGGTCGTTTCCGGGATCAATGGCTGCCACGGCCTTCTGCTGGCAGGAACAAATCCATGGGGGGGTGACTGATGGTTACATGCTGCTTATTTACATGCCGTTAGATCTTGATTCCCTTGACGTTGTAAGAAATTCTTTTTGATGTGTCAGTGCTTTATCCAGCTATCGGGAGGACATTTTAAAGATGAATGTGACAACTCGTAAGCTGAGAAGGAACCTCTTTGTACGGCAAAAAGCTGGAAATGAATTCACACAAAAGCAGGTCAGTCTGGATCGTGTCAATTCTCAATTAAGTATCAAGCGACTATAACGTTGCCACCAAACGGTGCTCGGTTCAAAAGGGATGAAAAAGTGTCTGGGAGAGGATTGATCTGACACGGCGGTGACCTGCTCAGGTCGAGGTCTGCGCTTGTGAGAGCTGTCTGATGGTAACGACGGCTGAACAAATACAGTTGTTTATCAAACTCACCTTCTTCGGGGCAAAGGTGTTGTGCTTGAGTTTCTCCACCAGCTCGGGTCCGGCCGCGGCCCAGGTCAGAGAGAACACCTCGGCCTTTTCAGGGTTTAGATGAACCGCCTCCAGCTGTTGCTGCAGAGAGGTCGGCTTCACATTATAATACACCGCCTGAGGAGGAGAGGGGGCACGGGTCAGGGCACTAGCTTTACACGCCGTCCACCGAGGCTTATCAACAGTTAGCTCTTACAAATGTGACTGATGCAACTCCAGACACTTAACATGGCTCCGTGTTAAAACTACTCATGATACAACAGCGACTCCAGCTGGAGACTCACAATGCGACGCACACTAACGGAGACAAAAGCCCTGAAAATATATATTTTAGCAAAACAGAAAAATAGTAATTTGCATGTTCTTTTACGTCAGTGTCTTTTTGTTTGTCAGTTGAATGCACTGAAACAAAATAATATAAGTGGGCTAAAATGATGTTCTTTCTTTCCCAATACCCAAGCAACGTGGTCATACAGAACATTGTTTTTCTCACTTGGCCTCCGATATCACAGCTGATAACTAATGTCGAACCCTTAAATTCATTATATTTAACTGAGCTAACTAAATATGCAGTATTAACAAATACAACTTATTTTTCAAAAATACCTAAAATCTAGTAAAATGAACGCTATGAAGAAAAATAAAATGTCAGATGTCTGTAACAAATGTCAGACGACCGTCCCTCCTCACCTGCTCCAATATGAAGGCAGCCGTTTCCAGGACGAGACTCAGAGCCTGTTTATCCAACGAGAGCGCAGATTGAAGTTTCTCTTCCTCCTCCTCACTGAATGTCCGCTCACCCTGTGTACGAGACGTGATTCACTCATTGATTGTTTGAGACTGATCGTTTTCAAATCAAATATTGGATTGAAAGTCAAATGCACAAATATTTAAACTATCTTTAGAATAGATTGTATTGTGGCCTCTGACACACAGGTAATGTCCAACAGTTCAAATGCATTTTATTCAGACATTTGGACAACCGCCAGGGAGTTATGCACGTCTACGCACCCTTTCCGCAGTAAAATTAACATTAACAGTGGCTCTACATATGATATGTAACAGGAAGCCATGTCAGTGAGCAATCACATTAAACATTTTAAACTAGTCAGGTGCACCTGTGCTTTTCAGGCTTTAACAGATTTTGATGTCTTTTAAATATTCTCATTTGAACAAACAGTGTGTCATGTGTCTGCACTTCAAAAAAACACAAGTCAACATATACATTGTTCTTAGCATTACTGACTGGAAACTTGACAGCCAGTGAAATCTTGTGAAGAACCAGTGTGATTGAGACGTGCGTGCATTCGTTAGAGCCGAGTGTGACTGATGCTCCAGCGGCTCATTATGCACTGCGCTCGCTCGCTCGTCTCTGCGTGTGCACACGGTCTCCGCACCTTCAGGTGAAGCTTTTGTATGATGCGGGAGATCAGCCTGGAGAACTTGTTGACGTCAATCGCGTTGATGAAAGTCACCGCTTCTTTAATGCTGTTTCGGAGAGAGAAGTGTCGTGAGTGTTAATGGCGGCTGCGTAGAAAGGAGTCAGGTCGTTTAGTGAAGAAACAAATTTCACGGCTCTCTGCTGGAGTATGATGTCATACATGACAGGTGCGTCCCGCTTTTAAAAGCAACTACTTTACACCGATAACAAACACACAAACTACAAACAACACAGCAATGAACACCTATAGCATCATATGCAGCAGTGTCTTCTATATATTGCAATGGGTTCCGTGGGAAAATTATTATTTTGGACTTATTCTATTGTTTGAATAGTTCTTACACTGAAAAACATCCCATTTTGGTCTGTGGCAAACGGTTTTGTTTTAATTTTTCAATTGAAATGATTGAAGTCCTGGTTTGGACCTTTAAAAAGGCAAGTTGTACGTCTAAAAACTTTAGTTTGCAAGTCCTTAAAGATTTGACTTACTAAGTTACAACATTTGACGCACTTTTCCCTGTAAAATGCAACCTAATGAGGACAGCAGCTACAGAAACCATTCCAAAACTAGTGTAAGCTTTTTGCTAAGGTCCATTAACACAACAAATCAATACCGGGAACCTTTTACGGGATTTGGCAACAGGTATCGTCACGTAAGCAGACGTTACAGAAAGGATTTACTTTCTCTAAATACAATCTAAAAGCTCACCTCTCCGTTTCTTTTATAAACGAAGTCATTGTTGATTGTTGCTTTCTGCAAATGAAACGTGAACAGTCTAAATGTGTTGCAGCAGCGGCGGGGGCGGCGGCGTCCTCACTGTTGTTCCTTCTTCCTGTTGTCACGAGACGAATCCCGTGACGCTCAAAGCTGCGTGATTATGCGCAGCAAAGCGCAGGAGAGACACGATACATTTTTTTAGTTTGCGTAAAAGCTGCGCACGATGAAGTATCTGCTGCAGCAGTAACTACGGAATACGCGATGGACAAACAGAGCCGGCGACAGATGCGCGAACGGAAGCGTCATTGTTTCCCTGCCATGCTTCAATTAGTACTATACGTACTATATAACACATGGCGTATTTAAAAATAACAAAAATACTCCATTACAAATTAAATACAATAGTTCTAATGCAGCAGCACAGGATTGCTAATAGGAAGAGTTTTTAAAGTCAACTTATGCGTTATATTTTTATATATCAGTCACTGACAACCATTTAATTCTTGTTCGACAATGTGGAAGATTACTAGTGTAATAATGCATCCTATCAAGAAAGCAGATGTGTAAAAAGTGTGCCAAATAAATGTGTCAAAGTATAAATTACATTTTCATCTTAAATGTAGAGGTAAGGTTAATAGATTACATTTTCGACGTACTACAAAAGGTTAATATGGAAAGGATACCCTTTATAAAGTCCCTATGTCAACATGCTTTGTTGTTCATAAATGATTTATTAATGCTTTGAGAGTCTGTGGAGTCATTAATAAGACAAATCATAGGTCAGGTCATTACAAAAGACTCGTTGGCTTTTTATTAATGTATATATCCACATATGTGCAGTAATTCAAGGGCGGGAATGACCAGGCAAAGAGTTTTCACAACCCAAAATGTATTCGACTAACTGCTCATAAAATATATATATATATAAATAAATAATGGATGAGTGCATTTTCTATTGACCATTAATAAAGTCATCAGTGGAGCATCATTACCGGGGACCACGTAGATATGCTGCATCTATGGCAATATTGTTGAGATTACAATACAAGAGTAACAAAATAGATAGATATAAACTTTATTAATCCCCAAGGGGAAATTTGTGCGCAATAGCAGCAGTACAGTAAATAAAGTGAGAATGAAAAATGCACAATAAGGCAATCACAAAAAGTTGAGTTGACAGTTTATTATGTTGGAAAAAAAAAAAAGGTCATGCAAATTAAAATTAAGATCATTATTGATAAGACATGATAAATCATTTTAAAATATTTTGCATACAAATAAGAAAAGAGAAAATCATTTCAGTATATATATATATATCCATATTTCCACACACAGCATATCTGTAATAGAATATTCTTTTCACTGAGGTTACAAACAAGCGGTAATTCATGAAGATGTCAATACTGTGGCAGACCTTTTTTGATTTGATATTTGAAGTAGTTTCATGCGCTTACCTTCATTGATTCATTTCTCTTGTCTGGAATTACCAAACCAAAAAGAATTTCCCATAACGTCACCACCTGCCACGCGGTCTCCTTAAGTAAACACTTGAGTCGGTGAAATCATTTCAGTTACAAACTGTCACAGATCTGTTCTGTAGCAGCTTAACGTCAACCTCCACCGAGGCATAAGGAATGTACCACAAATAAATAAATACTTCATTTTTCCTTCCAAGAGAAGGAACAAACAAAAAACATGAAACCTTTTTTGTTTGTTCAACAGGAAAAAAAGAAAAGAAAAGAAAAGAGGAGTAACACCAAAACAGGGAGTGTCAAACAGGACCAGAAGCTGTGTAGTTGATACAAGTTAGTAGTTTGAGGTTTTGGTAAGCAGATTGCATCGCGGTAAACATCGGCTGACTGCAGCTCCACGACCTCGCTGCCGCTACTTGAAGGAAGGTAAATTTGGCACTTTGATGCTGATGTCGCCAATGTTGATGTTTCTGGGCATTTCCGGCAGGTTCATGTTCTTTACCGCTGACACGGCACGAGCAGGCGCTCCTGCAATACCGGCCTACAAACACACACACAGGGTTGATAAGAATAAGATAAAATTAGTGAATAAAAAAAAACAAAAAAACATGTTACATAGAAACACATGAACAATGGACACAGACACACATACTGTGCTAAAGAAAGCACTAGAACCAAAGAACACAAGTGCTGACAGAATGCAAAAGCACTGACAGCTACTAAGACAGACAAGTGCAAATGTACATTCAGATGCCTTCATAGCTTCATATGCACATGCATTAGTGGGTTCTATAATGACTTACATCACAACCAGAGCCAATTATGAATCAACTGTGAGGACACAGTGTACTAGACCATTCACTAATGTACTGGACATCGGTCCGATGGACAAAAGGCAGCATTGCTCTGGAAAGTGGACCCACCGGATTTTGGAGGACCGATTTTAGGGCAGAAATGCAAGAATTGGGTAAAGCAGAAAAAATGGATTTGGTTGGATGTGAAGACGGAAATGATTTTTGGATAGATAGGCGTGTATAGAATGTGTGTGTGTGTCGTATTTTAAAAACATATCCACATACTATTAACTAAACACTACTAGTGTTACTGTTCTTCTAGTGGATGGAGTTACTTCTGGAAAAGACAACACAGCCTGCAGCCATCTCTGTGTGCACATTGGAGAGTAGAGGAAGGAGAATATTGTGCCATTGACACATCTGGTGTGTTAACTACTGATGACATGAGGCGGCCGTCAGCCAGGTGCTACTAAACTACAATGGGAAATCTATTCTTGGGGACAAAAGGAGGGCACTTCACTCTAACACAATGAATCTCATTACGTAACCGTGAGGAGCAACGGCTTTGTTGTTTGTTTGTTTTTTTAAAGGAAAGTATCAGGATGTTTTTTGTGGAACATCAATTAGAGGTTTTTGTCCTAAGTGTGTGCAGATGTTGAGAGTCACTGCGGTTAGAGATCGCCCTCAACGGAATCTTCAGCAGACAAACCCAAAAATGACCCCACGGGTTTAAGCCATCAGAGGGAACTGTGTGCCGTCGTTGCTCTGTTAAGAGCGCATTCAAACGTAACCATCTAGTGATGCGGGAATGTGGATTCATCCACTTATCACAAGGTTATTTCAATGGGCCGCTTGTCTTATTGGGCATTCCTCCATCTGCCAGGAATCAGACAGACTTGTGTTAGAGGGGAAGGACAACTGCGGCGTGTACCGGGAGGAATGCTGATCCGGCACACGGGCGCAGTATTCAGGAGTCGGACTCAAGAAAAGAAAGATTCTGTCCTGGCGGCCTGGAGACCCTCTGTGCAAGTGTGCTGGGTGACGAATATGTACAGAAATAGCACACCAGCTGTGTAACACAAGACAATGGCTCGATTCTCTGGAAGTTAAAATGATATTCTCAAATATCACCCCATCTTTTGGCTTTGACAGCAACCAGGGAAAGCGGGAAAAAAAAGGAGGAAAAATTGTGCTGCTTTTTATTGTGGTTCTCAGGCCAACAATCTGGGGTTTAAAGGGGGAGGCCTTAAAGCAATAACTTATCATTTTGGATAACAGGTACACCTGACATTCTATACAATAAAGCGCCAGAAACTACAGCTTCAGAAACCATGATCGGGTTGATGAACCGTCTCAAGTAACAGCAGCTCAACAACACAATCTACACAAAGACCATATTCATCCGTCTATTGTAACAGACATCTACTGCATCGTCATGCCCTTCCCATCACCAGTGGCAAAACATTTTTGGGACTGCCATGAAAGATTTCTGCTGTATGTTAGTGGAGTGAGTTTGATTCTACTGGGAGGGCCTTTCAGTGAGACTCGGGGGGTGAGGGGGGGTGGGGGGGGGTAAACTTCAGTTAAGGTTACGGAACTCGGTTGTAAGTTTAGCAGTACCTGTGTCTACCTGTCCTGCCTGGTAGACTGAAAGATAAACGTCTGTAAAGAGAGAGAAGAATGGAAAGAACTAGACAGGGTCAGGAAAAAGAGGAATGAGGAATGTTAAAGCAGATTTAAGTAATTACAGTTGATCTCCACAGGGGGGGAAAAAGGTGATGGGACCTATCGTAGACCACATCTTTGAAGCCAAAAAAACAGTTCTCAAGCTTTGCCCACTTTCGAGCCAGAAATGCAGATCATATTTAAGAAAGGCTGATGGGGAAAAACTCAAATGCCTGTCTTCAGCAGTCTGGAAGTGGAACAGCTCATTCCTTGTTCGCCCAGACACGGCCCTCTGAAAGGACTATGTCGTTTTGAATTAGCACCAGCGCGAAAAACACACACTGCGGTCTAGGGTAGGTCCCAGAGGGAAGGACGGAGAACAGTAAAGGAGTCTGCTTACAGAACGTCAAACGAAAAGAAGATTCTGTGTAAGTAGAAGCACACAATACAGGTCAGATTGTTAGGAAAAGTTTACTTTTACGCTTTTAAATCAATTTGTTGGATCGCATAATTGAGGTCAGCCAATTAAAAACCTCCTTCCTTGTTAATACAACAAATGAGTAGAACTTTGAATGGTTTTCTGCTTGCAAAAGTAAAAAAGGACTCCCGAAGAACATTGACTCAATATTTAGACGTCATTGCAGAGCTTTGTGAGAAATTAAAAAAAAACAAAAGCTACTTAAGTTGAAGACTGTTGAGAGGCTAAAATCCACATTCAGCAAAACCAATGATTTCATGAAATTGTCTCTGGCTGTCTGATTAAAATGTTCCGATAAGTAAACAAATGAAGCTGTATGGAAAGCAAAGCAGTGTCCTTGCATAGAGCAGATATCTAAGCAAGGACACTGGCTTATAGATGCAACAGGAAGAAAAGACACTGAGAAAAGGCTTTAAAACGCCAACACTAAATTGAATTAACATTCCGCTCAAATATAATAAGAAACCTACAACCAGCCTGTTTAAGACGGCATGTCAAATTCACATGACAACTGGAAGATGGGCATTCAATGGTCACAAATTCTGGATACGCGCTGCACAATGGTAGTTCCATCTCCGTCACAAGGACACATGACGCTGTATTTCCAGCTGGGGGATACGGGAGGGGAAAGACTCTTGACCTGTGTTGAGAGCAGTGCAGCAGCGAGGGGAGAGGCCGGAAAAGTAAAGAGTAATAAAAGAAACACAAAAACACTCAAAAAGAA